TTCTAGAATGTTCACCAAGGACCTGTCTATACAAACTTTGGTTAAAGAGAGTAAGCGTGTGATTGATGGATCTAACCAACTACCCCAGCAAAAGACTCATCAGCTTAGACTGAAGGGGACAGAGAAAGAACGAAAGAACGCTGTCTGCCTCTTGGATTTCTATAGGCAGAAAACAGGCCAAAGCAGTTACATCTGTTGTCTGCCAAGAAAAGTAAAGGGCTATCCCTGGAGCAGCTCAGAGAATAGTAGAACTGTTGGACGTAGCATGGGAAGCTGGGCCTTCTTGGTTTCAAAGGTTGGGCCACAGTCTCCTGGATCTCAGAGTGGGGCCACAGCCTCCTAGGTTTCAAAGAGTTGGATCGTTGTCAACTCCGCTCCAGAGTGTGGCGCTGCTGTTTAGGTGTACCAGGAGGATGGGGCCACCACACAAACTCAGGTGGTGAGGTGGCCATGCCCAAGGGGCAGAAGAACAGGGCCTACTGGGGCTGAGGTACGGGTGTCGCTACTCAGATGGACTAGAATGGGGCCATCTAAACCCAAGGGAGCTAAGTTGCCATCCCAGTGGGCCTGGAAGGTGGAGCTGAAGCCCATGGTGGAGAAGCCTCCACCTGGAATCCAGAGGGTGCAGCCATTGGCACAGATGGTCTCAGAGAAGACAGGATTATTTTCAAGACTTTTGAGAGCTAATGGGATTTCTTCTGCTGGGTTCAGGACTGGCTTGGTGCCTGTTAATCCCTTCTTTCCCTCCAATTTCTCCCATTTATAATGGAAATCTCTACCTGGTGCCTGTTCCACCATTGTACTTCGGAAACAAATAACTTTTTTTTATTGTGTTTAAGTGAAAGTTTACAATTCATGTTAGTTTCTCATACAAAAATTTATATACACATTGTGACCCTAGGTGCTCTTCCTGTACTGTGAAAGCACACTCCTCCTTTCCACCCCATATTTCCCGTGCCCATTCAACCAGCTCCTGACCCTCTGCCTTCTCATCTCACCTCCGGACAGAAGCTGCCTGTTTAGTCTCATGTATCTACTTGAGCTAAGAAGCACCCTCTCCACAAGTATCATTTTATGTCCCACAGTCCAGTCTAATCTTTGAAGAGTGGGCCTTGGGAATGGTTTTAGTTTTGGGCTAACAGAAAGTCTGAGCGCCATGTCTTCTGGGGTCCCTGCAGTCTCAAACCATTGTCTCATCTTTTTACTAGAATTTGAGTTCTGCACCCCACTTTTCTCCTGCTCCATCAGGGACTCTGTTGTGTTTCCTGTCAGGGCAGTCATTGGTGGTAGCTGGGCACCATCTAGTTCTGGTCTCAGGCTGATGAATCTCTGGTTTATGTGGCCCTTTCTGTCTCTTGGGCTAATACTTGGAAATAAATAACTTGTATTCTAGATTTCTCAGGTTCACAGATGAAGAGGAATTTTGCCACAGGATGGAATATGCATCAAGTCTCAACCATATTTCATTTAGATGATTCAGATGAGATTTTAGACTTAAGAGTTGTGGGAAGATGTGATGGGGTGAATGTGATTTGCATGAGGCAAGAACATGAATTTTAGGTGGCCAAAAGGTGGAATGTTATGGATTGAATTGTGTCCCCCCAAAATAAGTTGTAAACCCTAACCTCTATACCTGTGGTTATAATCCCATTTGGGAATGGGTTACCTTTGTTATGTGAATGTGGCAGGATTAATGTAGGCTGTATCTTGAGTCAATCTCTTTTTAGATACAAAGATTAAACAAGACAGCAGAGATGGTGTAAGATGGATGCCAAGACATATGGAGATATCCAAGAAACCAGGAAGGAGAAGCTGAAGAGTCAAAGACCTTCCTTCAGAGTCGACAGAGAAATCCTTGTCCTAGAGCTGGTTCTCTGAATTCGGACTTCTAGTCTCCTAACCAGTGATAAAATAAATTTGTTTGTAAAATCCATCCATCCACTTCTGGCATTTCTATTATAGCTCCACTAGATAACTAGGCCATGGCTCTAGGAGGTTCTCAGCACCGGAAGCCCCAGTCCAAAGGATTCATTCTGCTCCTGGCTCTTTCTTGTTGGTAGTGAGGTCTGCCCTCTGCTCTGGAATTGGCTGTTTAAGCCTAGTGAAATGGCAAAACTGACCAATCCCCTCCTTAGAGTTCCATACACTTTATTTGCATAGTCCCATCCAATCATTGTGTGGGAGTAACAAAGCTAATGGCTAGAAGGGCCATACTAAGTAATTCACTGCACTGCAAATACACACCTTACGATAATTACAATAACCAAGTATACACATTGCCTAATGGGATTATAACCACAGGTATAAGGGTTAGGATTTACAACACATATATTTTGGGGGGGACACAATTCAATCCATAACATTCTACCCTTTGCCCCCCCCTCAAATTCATGTCCTTGTCACATGAAAACACATTCACCCCATCACATTATCCACAAAGTCTTCAATGAACTCCAAGTCCAAAATGTCATCTTCTGAATCATTCAAATCAAATACAGGTGAGACTTTATGTGTACTCCATCCTGTGGCAAAATTCCTCTTTATCTGTGAACCTATGAAATCTAGAATACAAGTTAGCTGTTTCCGAAGTACAATGGTGGAACAGGCACAAGGTAAAGATTTCCATTACAAATGGGAAAAATTGGAGGGAAAGAAGCTTTAACAGGCAATAAGCATGTCCCGAATCCAGCAGAACAAATTACACTAGCTCTCAAGCCTTGGAAAATAATCCTCTCTTCTCTAAGACCATCTGGACAATGGCTCTGCCCTCTAGACTCTGGGTATGGATTCTAGGTGGAGGTCCCTTGGCCCTGGGCATTAGCCCAGCCTTCCAGGCTGACACAGATGGCAGCCTCGCCCCTTCAGCTTTCAGCAGAAGCTCCATAATGCTGGGCAAACCGAATGGTAATCCAACTTCCAGAACTGAGTTGGTGGAGGTCTGATTCTTCTTTCTCTGTCCCCTTCAGTCTAAGCTGATGGGTTTTCTGCTGGGGTAGTTGGTTAGATCCATCAATCACACACTTATTCTCTTTAATCAAAGTTTGTATAGACAGGTCCTTGGTGAACATTCCAGGACACATGACCTTAGCTTGTAAAATAACTTTCCAAATCTGTAAGTTCTGGTTTCATTTTGCACAGCTCATTTTTAAGTCCATCTCTTTCCTCTCACATTTTATTATAAACGGCAAGAAGAAATCATGCAGCCCCTTTATGATCTTGCTTAGAAATCTTATCAGCCAGATATCCAATTTCATCACTTAAAAGTTCTATCTTCCAGCAAACATCTGAACATAATTCAGAGTTCTTTGCCACTGCATAAAAAGCATCACCCTTCCTCCATTGTCACATGTTCATCATTTTCTTTTAAAGCCTCACCAGAAGCACATTTAACATACACATTCCTAGAAACATTCTGTTGATAGTGCCATATGTATTCTCTAAGAGGACAGAGACTTTTTCTGTGGCTCTCTTCACTACCAAGCCCTCACCAGAATTTCCTTTGATGTCCATAATTCTATACCTATTAAATATATTGAGTCAAAACTAACGACCTTTTTAAAAAAAAAGCACCAGGCCCAGCGATTTCCTTTGTGATCCCTAACACATATTTAAAAAAATTAATGAAACCAATTCTCTAATCTCTTCCAAAATATAGCAGATGAAATATTTCCTAACTTGTTTCATGAGGCCAGCATTTGTCTAATAACAAAACCAAATAAGTACATTACAAGAAAACTATAGACCAGTATCTTTCATGAGATCTATGGCAAGGCAAAGACCCAGAAGAGCTAACACAACACTGAAGAAGAAACACAGCACTGCAGGACTCACACTACCAAACTTCAACACTTTCTATGAAGCTACAGTAAACACAGAGTCCTACTGATGAAAAACTTAAAAACCCTCAAAAATAGTAGCATATGGACAACAGTACACGAAAAGGATAATACACCACGACAAAGTAGGATTTATTCCACATATGTAAGGCTGGCTCAATCTCTGATGGCAATACACAAAAGGAAAAAAATCATATAGTCATATCAATGGAGAAAAAATCATTTGAGAAAGCTTAGGGTCCCTCAAACTCAGAGTTCTTCAGAAGGAACCAACACTACCTTGATTTTAGATTTCTAGCACCAGAAGTGAAAATAAATTTCTGTGGCTTTATCACCCAGTTTAGGGTAATTTGTTATGGCAGTCCTAGGAATCTAATACAGAATTCATCCTGTTCTGTGGATTGGCCACAGTGGAAATTAATGAGTTTTGGGAAGTGAATACATAGTCTCTTATTCATCTACAAGAAAAATTAACACTGTGTATCTTCACTTTTCAGGGGAAACTCATGAACATTGACCGTTTCAAAATTGTTTCAATGAATGCTCCAAGTAGAAAAAATTATGCTTATTCCTGATATTTTTTTATTTCATAACATTTTTTTACCATATGTAAGTCAAGGCTGATGGAAGCCATATATTTTTAGCACAAAAACATGCATTTGGATTTATAACTATATACTTACTGCATTCCATGATTAAATTGTGTCCTCCAAAAATGTATCAATTTGCCTGGGACATGATTCCTGGTATTGTGTGATTATCCACCATATTGTCATCTAATGTGATTTTCCTGTGTTGTAAATCCATTCCTCTATCATGTTAATGAAGGGAGATAGACAGCAGTTGTTTTGATAAGGCTGGGCTCAATCTATGGGATTGGATTCTCTTGAGCCAGTTTCTTTTGGGATATAAAAGAGAGAAGCAAGCAAAGAGACAGGGATCTCATATCACCAAGGAAGCACTGCTGGGAGCAGAGCATGTCCTTTGGACCCAGGGTTCCTGTGCAGAGAAGCTCCTAGCCTAGGGTAAGACTGATGAGAAGGACCTTTCTCCAGAGCTAACAGAGAAAGCCTTCCTCTAGAGCTGACGTCCTGAATTTGGACTTTTAGCCTACTATACTGTGAGGAAATAAATTTCTCTTTGCTAAAGCCATCCACTTGTGGTATTTCTGTTATAGCAGCATGAGATAACTAAGACAGTGAATACTCATGAAAGTACTTCAAATGCAAATTTATGTATACATTTCCAGAATTGTATAGTTTGATTCCACAATGGAAAGGAATTGTTCCATATGCCTTTTCACCATGAGAAATTAATGGTACCTTGTTAGTATCTGTTATGAAGTATGCTACTGAAGTACGACTTGATTGTGTTGGTAGAAGGAATGTGATTCCCTCATAGTTATGAAAAAAATGACTCAATTTTCGAATTAAACATGAGACCCATGAAACATTCTGAATAAAACAGGACCAAGATACAATGCCAGTGGTTAAATATGAATCCAACCCATATATATTTTATTTTGGTTCTTTTGATTAAACTCCCTCCTCTAAGAATTGCTCTCTTCATTTTCCAAGAGCAAGACTAATTTTTCATTAATCTTTAGTATAAAAAACTATAGCAATTACAAGGTGATGCTGTAATGCAATCCACCAACACTGCGCGGTACCCATGTTGTATCTGATTTCTAGACAGCGAGAGGCCATTAGAAAAAAGGGGAATAATATGGATTACTCCATGTACACCATGTTCTTCTGATCCTCTGTACTTCTGTGCTGGGTTAAATAATCTGGTACAATGGCTACACAGAACTCACATTCCATACTCACAATTATGTGAGTTTTATTATGGAAATAACAGGTGACAATAAAAGATCATTAAAAACATTCTACAACTCAGGATCAGAATCTGCAAGCAAGTAGGTAGTCTCCCTTCTTAAGCGCAGGACAGCTCTCTCATCTCCTCTTGGCAGAGTTAAAGGCTTTGCTACGCATATTACATTTGTAAGTTCTCTGTGCCAAACGAATTCTCTGATGTTCTATAAGGTTTGCTCTTTGGGTGAAAGCCTTCCCACATTCATTACATTTGTAAGGTTTCTCTCCAGTATGAATTCTCTGATGTTCCACAAGGTGTGTTCTTCGGATAAATGCCTTACCACATTGAATACACTTGTAAGGTCTCTCTCCAGTGTGAATCCTCTGATGAGTTGTAAGGCCTGAATTTCGACTAAAGAACTTTCCACATACATTACATTTATATGGTTTCTCACCAGTATGGATTCTCTGATGTCTAGTTAAGTGTGAGCCTTTAGTTAAGGATTTTCCACATACATTACATGTGTAGGGTTTCTCTCCAGTATGAATTCTTAGATGAGCTTCCAGGTGTCCATTTTGACTGAAGACCTTCCCACACACATCACAATTATATAGTTTCTTTCCAGTATGAATTCTCTGATGGGCTGTAAGGCCTGAATATCGACTAAAGGTCTTGCCACATATATTACATTTATGTGGTTTTTCACCAGTGTGGATTCTCTGATGTCTAGTCAGGTTTGAGCCAAAGTTAAAGGCTTTGCCACAAATACTACATCTGTAAGGTTTCTCTCCAGTATGAATTCTCACATGATCTTCAAGATGTCCATTCTGACTGAAGACCTTCCCGCATACATTACATTTGTATAGTTTCTTTCCAGTATGGAGTATTTGATGTTCAGATAGGGTTGAGCCACTGTAAAAGGCATTGAGAATTTTGTTATGGGTTATAATCAATCCTTTGTCATTCCTTTCATCATCTCCCCACGAACTCTCCAACTGATGCATATTTTCCCTGACTTGCCTGAAGTCAAAATCCTCAGTACCATGACTTTCATATCTCTCCAACATCACTCTCTGGAATAACTCTCCTTTATTAATGATCTCTTTTGGTGATAATTCCTGGATCACAGATGTAGAAAAGACATCTAAAAGATATAAAGAACCATAGGCTTCGAATTAACACCAATTAGAAAATATTTAACATTGAAAAACGTAATTTTCTGTCAAAAACAATACTTATAATTAACAGTTTTGAAACTTCTACCCAAAGGACTTTACATTTTAGGAACACAAAATTAATAGAATTCCTCAATAATGAAAGGATGATTTCATGTAATTCAAATGATTTTTAGGTAAGCTGAGTTTCAAACACTATATGACCATACTACTTATGCAACGTAAAAACACACAAGCCCTAAGAGAATGCCACCATCCTAAAGAAAACATGAGTTGATAAAGGTTTGTGGCAGCCTCATATTAAAAAAAAAAAATTATATTGAAGTATGTTGATGCATACATATTGTTTACAATTAAAAACAAACACAGAACTATGCAATGTAATGGTAAGTAATCCTGAGTAAAGTTTTCTAATGAAGAAGATAAGTGGCAATTTGGAATTCTAAAACAAAAAGAGCACGAGTAAGGTAAGGAAGAATTTAAGTAAACACTGATGTAAGAATAACAAAACTATCTATATCCATGTAGAATAGGCATTTGCAACATTAACAACTGGTACACAGCTGTTTTATTCCATAATAGATACTGAAAAACAATCACCTGTAAATCATAATGAAAGTTAATAAACAACACAATCTAGTAAACCATGAATAATCCCGCAAGTGCATAATAAGTAATTGCAAAAATACAAAATTATAGTCTGTGGAATTATCAAGAATTCTCCTTTGAGAGGATTAAAGGAGAATTTCAGAAGGATACAGTAAGAGAAGGAGAATATGTGTTCAGAATACCTGACTTTTGAAATATCATGTTCAAGTAAACACATAATATTAAAATAATAAATACAGTTATTTGCCCTTAATGGGTAAATAAACCAAAGCGCAGGATGGCTTGTATACAAGGGTGGTGTTAGTCGTAGCAGTTAAATGTAGAAACATTTTCTGATAACTCCACTGGTACCCACAGAGGAATTCATTGTGCAGAGAGGTGGTCGGCAACCTAAGCAGCCAACAGTAACCAGAGAACAACAGTACAGCACCGGGATGTGAATCAACAAGGAACAGGTGAATGTCTTACTAAATTCAGTTTTAAAGAAATACAAGGAACATATCAGTCTTCAAATGTTAAGTGAAGAATGTAATTTCCAAACCTTTATTAATTTTGTGGAAAACGCAGGCATTATAATAAGCAGGAGTGAAGAAGTACAGGAAGTGCAAGAAATTGGCTAAGTTTCTTGTTAAACACAAGAAATTTAAATATTAGTTTGATATACAAAGATGTTTATGATGAATCTAGACAGCAAGAATAACTAATGAGGCACTTGCACCAAAAGAAAACCTTATTAAAATATAAACAAAACCCAACAAACTATGTTTAGAAAATTTAAAATATACTATGGAAAAAGCAACATATTTCATGTAACAAATTATGACATGTTAATTCTATGGTATTTGTCGGATTAAAAAACAGTCACTTAAAACAAAGGATATATTCCAAAGACATCCAAAATTCCTAATGTGAAACACTCAATTAATTTAAATGGGAAAAGTAAACTCTGATAGCGCAGTGTAGTGAATTGCTATTATATGGCCTTCTAGCCATGGTAAGGAGCTGCGGTGGCTCAGCGATTAAGTGCTTGGCTCCTAACCAAAAGGATGGTAGTTCAAACCCATCCAGCCGTTCCAAGGGAGGAAGACAAGGCGATCTGCTCCCATAAAGTTTACAGCCAAGAAAACCCTATGGGGAAGTTCTACGCTGTCACATGGGGTTGCTATGAGTCAAAACTGACTTGATGGACCTAACAACAACAAGCCATGGTCTTGTAAGTCCCACAAAATGATTCATGTGACTATACAAATAAGGTGCTTATGGCCCATCAAAAGGATCAGACACTTTTCAAAAGCAAATAAGGTGCATTGAACCTTTGTAGGGGATTAGTAAGTTTTGCCATTCTGCTAGGCTTAAAAGGAGGCAATCCTAGAGGTTGCGTGAAATCTCACTACCATCAAGAAGAAGAGTTGGGATTGGAGCGTGTTCTTCGGACCCAAGGTCCTTCATTGAGAATGTCCTAGATCTAGGAGACAGAGACAGCTGTAACACCAGAGGCGACACAAGGCGGTTAAGAAGTGATGGCAAGCACAAGAGAGACTAGCAGCAGAGAAACAGTGACAGTAGAACCAGGACACCAGTGCAAGAAGGCACTGTGGTCTTCCTGGACCATGGAGTGAGGTGGCTACAGTGGGCATGCTGACCCAGAGCGAGAGAGCTGAGGAGGCTTGCGGGCAGTTTGGGGTGCACTGAGGCACTTGTTGGCGGTGCTAGGCTCGCCAACCCATAGTGAAAGAGTTGAGTACTTTCAGGCCGAGGCTTACTAGTGGAATGGGGTGCCTCCAGGCACGTACTGGCAAAGCTGAAGAAATTTGTAACACTTGCCCAAGTAGGGTAGGGGCAATGCCTGAGCAGGGATTAGGCCAAGAGTGATGGCCCAGGCTGAGAGCAAAGGCTCGGCAGCAGCAGCCAAGAAAAAGCTGTCCTGATTGAAGAACTGTTTCCTGAGTTGCTACCTCCAAGTTGATCCTGAATTGTAAACTGTTATTTCCATAATAAACCCCATAACTGTGAGTATGGTCTGTGAGTTGTGAGGTCACTGCAATGAATTATCGAACCCAGCGAAGAATTAGAGACTGTCATGGGAGGGACGACTGGTGTCAGAATTGATGAAAAGATTGGAATGCAGGAATGTCTGACTTCCACCTCACAAGAACCAGCTTTTTAGGGTGCTGGCAGAGTAGGGTGCTCCCAGACACTTGTCTGCAGAGCTAAAATAGGTGTAACACTTCCCAAGCAGGGTAAGGGCTTAACAGGGTTCCTGCCCTGAGAAGGCCAAGAGGGGCCCATCCTCAGGGGGCCAATAGGACACTTGTCCTCAGGGGGATGAGAGGAGGCCTGTCTTCAGGGAGTTTTGATGAGGCCTGCACTGCCGAAAGGGGTTTGCATGGCAGAGAGAATGGTCTGCTTGCTTGCATAGCTGAGAGGAGCTGACAGAGCTGTCCTGCACTAAACTACATGCTTCCTGAACCTGATCCTGAGTCACAGTTTGTTGTTCCTATCCTGTATTACTTCCCTAATAAACCACGTAACTGTGAGTGTGGTCCGTGCGTTGTGTGGCCACTGCAACATATTATAGAACCCAACAACAAAGCAGAGTGCTGTGGGGAGGATGGCTGGTGTCAGAATTGGTAAAGGTTGGAGAGTGGAGGTATGTCTAAACTCCACCTGATAGGTATCAGCTTTGGACTGATCCTGATCGTGATCCTCATTCTCCCTGAAGCTGGATAAGATCTGACACTACAGCCACGACCCTACTGCTACTGCACTGCAAACAAGAAAGGATACAAATGAAGACAAACAAAGGAACAGGTCTACGAGGAGTCCTGAGCTAACTTTCCAAAGGGAGTGGTCCCGGTTTAAGTCTTGTATGTCCCCAGGGACTGTCCCAGGAAAAACAATCCTCCCAAGAACAGATGTTCTTGAGAACCAGCATGCCCCTAGATCTTCCGAGTTCAAAGTCTTCCATTGGCTTCACTGCATGGTCATGCTTGAGACCTCATTGCATAGTCATGATTGATACATTCATACATGACTGATTAATTCATGTCCCACTCCCTTTCAGAGGTTAGCTGGTAAGGAGGGGTCTGTGTAGCCACCACTCATTTGAACAAATTCTAAAGTGTTGCCTGCCATTTTTAGATAACAAAGACACCTCACCTACCCGAGAAATTCCAAAGGTTATCTTTCACAAACCAAATACAAAGGCCAAATTGAGTTCTTTGACTAACAGAGATTTGAACAGATGGGGAGGTCTTGTAAAAGCCTTATGTAGCTTCCTGGGCCTCATATGCAATGGAAGAGCTGGCAGTGTTTTGCTGTCTCCTGAGAAGGTCTCCCAAGAGTGTGTAATGAGAATGGGCAATGTAGGCTTCAGCTCTGACCTGTATGAACTGAGTATCAGATGTAATCAAGTACAGAAGGAGAAACTAAGAGGGCAAGAAGATGCCTTTGAAACAGGCCTCCTAGTCCTTCTCAAAGCCAAGCCACCAAAGGCCTTACAGGGACCACATAATAGCATGCTGTAGGTCATAACAGACTTTGTCTCTGCTCAAGCTGGAACAGCAGTGGAGGATAAACTCTTACATGTCTGAAGAGAGTGATACATGAAAGGGATAGACAGGAGAATGAAGAAAAAATGTTTCCTTTGAGATGTTACAATAAAATAAACTTGCGTTTTCCCATTTAGGGGGTTTGCCAAACAATATTTAATGGTGTGGTTTCTTCTCTAACCATCTGAGCTCTTACCTTCTTGATACATCCTCACCTACCTGGGTCATATGCTATATCCATCATGGTGTACAGAGTCCAGGGCTCTGTCTTTTTCTTTAAAATGGAGATACCATTCATCTCAGAAGAAGAGATTCCTGTTTATAAGAAAAAGAAACATGATATGCTGTAGCTTTTCCAGAATAAAATCCAAGTTATTTGTTCAGCTTAAAACATCAGATGATTCTAGAAAATTATTTCAAAAGTTCATGTACTGACTGCCTCCTTGAAAATGGTTAAGAAATATGTTAATATGCAGATATGCAGCTATTTTCCAATAACTATTGAATCAAAAGCAAAGAAGGAAAGTCATGGAATTGGACATATTAAAAGTAAGCCATGAGGTACACGTAGAAACCTGTACAAATGTATTTTTTTGCTGTGTATATTCTCAACAAGACAAATTATAAAAAAAAAAAAAAAAACAAACCCATTGCCATTAAGTCGATTTTGACGCAAAAAGCTTCTTAGAAAAAGCCAGTTAGCTGTTTACTCATGTCTGCATTTTAACTATGCTTCCTAGATTAATGTGATTAAAATTTTAAGTTTTTGAAAAAAGGTATGATTAACTGTTTTAACACAAAAGAGATTAAAAACATTACTCACTTGTTAGGCAACAGAAAGGAAAACAAATACTCAAGTACTTCATCCTTTTACCAGCATTAGTTAACATGTATTACAAAATTTTATCAGAAAATACTACTTTCAGCAATAGAATAAATTAATACAATATATTTTTTAAACACAAAGTAAGTCATAAGGTTTTGTGCTTACTCAAGCCCTGGAAACAGCTATGTTCTAGTGTGAAGTGGGCAGATCATCTGAAGAAAGAGGAAGACTAAAGTCCAGATATTGCTTTATGAAGTTTTCATTTCTGAATCAACTTCAATCTTGCCTTAGAAACAGAGATTTCAGAATGTATCAAGCAGGGTTGGGGCTTCCAATAGACACACAAGGGAAAACGCAAAGACACACAGGGCAGATCCTGACTTCTGGAGAGAAGTTATGCTCACCCAGGGAGACCAGGTTCCTGTAGTTCTCCAACATCACGTCCCTGTACAAAGCCCTCTGAGCAGGGTCCAGGCATTCCCACTCCTCCTGAGAGAATTCTATGGCCACATCCCTGAATGTCAACAGTCCCTGCAATAGAAAACACATCTCACCAAGTGCAGAAGGGAAACCTCTAATTTTCCAGAAAATGATAGAAATGTATACAAATCAATTCTGTTGATGTCAGCATTTTGACAGATCCACATATGATAACATTATGCGAGTTATATGTCCCCTAATTTTGTTTTGTCATATCTTTCCACCAGAATATATGAAATCCAGTTAACCTTTTCCTGTGGTCAATAAAAGAAATTCATCTCAGTTCAAACTAGTAAGTGGCAGAGCCAGCACCTGAACACAGGTGGACAGGCTTCAGCACTGAATCTAAAGAATCAAACAGTTAAGTAACAGATACAGCATTGAAAGGACGTTCACAAAGGGATTCAAAACAGCCCTCTGGAAATTTGTGAGGTTCAATATGTAGGATATGTCCATACTCATCAGAAGAACCCTCTTTCAGGGTTGGCAATTAACTGAAGCTGGCAAGTAGATATCCTGATATGCTTGTTTGAGGTGACATCCTGGGTCCAGGAAATGAATGGAAATTGGGGTGGTGCAGCAATGCAGAGATGGACCAAATCTGGACATATACTCTTTCATCTAGTGAGACACAAAATGCCAATAAGAACCGTTGTGTCTGCAGGAAGAGAGACATAGACTGGAGATGGCTGTGGGGCAGATTCCTACAGGGAAGGCCCTACACATAGCTGGCACATCAGACTGATGCTGGCAGCCCTGGGATGCTACACTTACTCTGAACTGGACTTTGCTTATCCTGAGGTAGATGCAAATAGTCAGAGTACTATTAAAGATCCAGAACAGAAGATTCCGCATCAATCAGGACGGCTGAGTCATATTTCTTCAGACAAAGGAACATGCTTTTATCCTCAGAGTAACAGTTTGATAGAAAATTGGAACAGGAAATTGAAACATTGCTTCTCTAAAACGGGGAGATAAAGGCAGGAACGGCTGGCTTACACACCTTCACAAGTGTGTGCTCACACTCAATATCAGAAGGAAAGGGAGAATCCCCAATGAATAGATTTCTCTGACTTTTCTGGTGGATCTGGGGAGGATGCTGGTATGATTATACACTCTTTCCCATATCACTTCAATTCTTGTCTCTTTTCCCCACATAACCTCAATTATTTCCCCATTGTCTGATGCTATGGTCCAGGACCTGAGCTGCAACCAGGGTGAGTAATGGAAGCAAGGATGATTCCTAAGGAAAAACTGTAACTAATGACTGTGAGTGGACTGACAGGGAGACACCTTCTGGGTAGCACTGCTGCTGGCAATCTAGACCAGTACAGTGGCCGCACTGAAAGTCCCTTCTGAAGATGGAAAAGTTTGTATATAAACAGATGAAAGGAAAAAGAGTAGCTGTGTGTAAAGGAATGACTGAATGGGTTGTACAATGAGAGAAATACAAAAATTACATTAATGCTTGAAAAGAGGCTTAGAGTAAGAGATGATGTCTCTAAGCTCAATTATACAATGCCTGAAAGGGTGACCAGACCACTCTTGCTTCTGGAATCTGACAAGATTAGATGGAAGTACGTTACAAAACTGAGTGGCCTGGGAGGAGTTTTACAATACAATGTGATGACGGATTAAGCCTAATGACTAACGCCTAATGGCTGATTTGGGACTCTAGCAATATGTCAGTTTCTTTTGAATCTTATTTTTCACATTATGGTGTAACACTGACACTGCTGAGTACCAATCTTGATGGTTAAAAGTATTGGGTAATTGACTTAAAACCTCCACCAGATGTAATAAGTAACTGGCCTGAGGAAAAACTGGTGGGAGAGAAAGGTACAAATAGTGGTAGCATGAGGGGAGGAGAAAAGTAAATCCTTCAAATGTTAGGCATTAAAAGAAACCCATGGCCAAAGGACAGCAGGTGGTTGTGAGGTAATGAATCACTTTGTTGTTGTGTGCAGAGTGGATTTTGACTCATAGTGACCCTCAAGGACAGAGTAGAACTGCCCCATAGGATTGCCTAGGCTGTAATCTTTATGGGAGCAGATTGCCAGGTCATTTCTCTCACGAAGCTGCTGATGGATTCGAATAGCCAATCTTTCAGTTAGCAGCTGACTGCTTAACCATTGTGGCACCAAGGCTCCTTAAATGAATCATCTTACAGAGAGCTATTTGGCCTTTGTCCTTGGTTCCTGACAGATGTTGTTGCTGTTGGACGCATTTAAGTTGATTCTGGCTCATAGAGACACCATGTGACGGGGCAGAACTTCCCCACAGGAATTTTTTTACTATAATCATTATGGAATCAGATCACGAGGTCTTATTGCCTTGGAGTCGCTGTGTGGGTTCGAATCATCAATATTTTGGTTAACAGCCGAGTACTTAACCATTGTGCAACCAGGGCTCCTTTTTCCTGACAGATAAACCCATTGAATTTTCTGAGTAATTGAGGTACATTATGGATTGAACTGTGTTCCCCAAAAATATGTGTCAACTTGGTGAGGCTGTGATTTCCGGTATTGTGTGGTTGTCTTCCGTTTTGTGATCTGATGTAATTATCCTCTGTTTTGTGATGTGCTGTAAATTGCCTCTTATGCATATGAAAGCTGGACAATGAATAAAGAATGCCAGAGAAGAAATGAATTTGAATTATGGTGTTGGCAAAGAATACTGAATATAACATGGACTGCCAGAAGAATGAACAAATTTGTCTTGGAAGAAGTACAGCCAGATTGCTCCACAGAAGTAAGGATGGCAAGACTTGGACTTACGTACTTTGTACATGTTATCGGGAGGGACCAGTCCCTGGAGAAGGACATTGTGCTTGGTAAAGTAGAGGATCAGTAAAAACGAGGAAAACCCTCAAGGAGATAGACTGACACAGTGGCTGGAACAATGGGCTCAAACACAGCAAGCAGTGTGAGAATGGCACAGGACCAGGCTGTGTTTCGTTCTGTTGTACATAGGGTTGCTATGAGTCGGAATGGACTCAGTGGCACCTAAGAACAATAACAACATAGGTTAATGAGGCAGGATTAGGGTTGGGTGTCATCTTGAGTCACACTGTCTTACAAGAAGGTTTGATTCAAGTCATGCTCTTACTCAAGTCACACACTTGCACGTACTCCAGTCACACCTTTACTTGAGTCACATCTTTTGTCTTACAAGAGACAAATGGAAAGAGAAGCAACCAGAAACAGAGGGACCACATCACCATCAAGTAAGAAGATCCAGGAGCGGAGTGCATCGTTTGGACCGGCGTCCCTGCGCTGAGAACCTCTTAGACCCAGGAGACAGAGAACTTTAACACCGGAGACAGCGTAAGATGGCTAGAAGTGGCAACAGAGAACTGGTAGCAACAGAACCAGGAGGCCGGTAGGAGATAGCAAAGGGGGTGTGCCAACCAATGGAGCGAGAGAGCTGAGTGCCTTCTGGTAGGAGTCCTGCTGGCAGAGTCGGATGCCTCTGGGTACTTGTTGGTGGAGCTAGGTAACCAAGAATAAGTTGCAGTCGCTACCTACCAAGGCTGGTTGGTCTATTTGAACTTTGGAGAATGTATATTCCACATTTGTGAATATTACTGGTTCCTATCCATAAAAATTCTCAGAAGAAAATTGTGTTCAAATGGGGACCAGAGAAACAGGAGGCTAAGTCTGAATTTCAGAAAGTGGTCCTTAGGCCCTTATAATCCACATTCTGACATGATTTTGGAGGTGTCTGCCACGTTCTTACGCAGACTGGAGCTTATGACAAAAACCTGAGAATGCCGCCCTACGGTGACCGCTGGGATTCTGGACTAGAAAGTGTCCAGATGCTGAAGCACAACACATGCCATGTGAAAGGCAGTTATTTGCCTGCTGTTAGGTGATGACTGACTGCCTCAATGACAGAAAGACATAAAATAATCATGAGATCTAAAATAACGTCAGAGAAACACTCTAATAAGGAAGGTGGTGCCCAAAATAGCTCTATAATAAAATAGAAACGGTTCATATAAGAACAAGCTACTAGGGGAATGCTGGGAGGCAGACACCATATCTATGAGCAGGTAGCTTCTTTCATCATAGGTCCTACCCTGGAATGACCTGAAAAGCTGCCAGAACCTACTACTACATGGACAGTGCCCTATGAACAGCTTTCTGTTGACGAGCATAAGGCTGCTTGGTTCACAGATGACAGTTCCAGGGTACATGGACAACACGTGATATGGACAGCTGCTGCATTAAGACCAGCAGACAGAAAGACTGTGATTGAAGAAGGTAAGAACAGTTCAGCCCAAAGGGTTGAACTGCATGCTGTCTTCTTAGCCATGATGGAAGAACTGGGCAATGTTGACAGCCTGTATGTTTGGATTTTTACAAATTCATGGCCAGTGGCTAATGGTCAGGCAAATCGGTAATGGAAAATTGGACCATTAAGGGGACACCCATGTGAGGTATGGACCTATGGAAAGCACTCTAGAAATTTAGAGGGCGCATCAGAGTTGGACAATCGATGTCCATCAGAAGAACCTCCGTCCTAGATCAGAAGGCAATTAGAATCAGCAAGCGGACCTCTTGGTACACTAACATGAGGTGGCCAATTGTATCCATGAAATGAGTGGACATGAGGATGCTGCAGCAATGCAAAGATGGGCTGAATCTAGACCCATCCCCCTTGCACTCTCTGAGGCACAATGTACCAATAAGGACTGCTCTGTCTGCCAGCAAGAAAGACAGAGGTTGCAGATGACTATGGGGCAGATTCCCCAGGGAGAAGGCCCTGCACATAGCTGGTAAGTTGATGGTATTGGACAAATGACACCAGTGACACCAGGTAGCTACAAAGATTCCTCACAGGAATAGATACTCTGGAGTGGGCTTTGCATATCCCGGGACAGATGAAAATGCCAAAAACACCATTAAGGGACCAGAACAAAAGATACTGTACCAATTTGGACCGCTGAGTTATATTTCATCAGACCAAGGAATACACTTTACAGCCCATGGGGTGTAGCAATGGCCCAGGAAACACCATATTAAATGGACATAACATGTTGTGTACCACCCTCAGAGTAATGGTTTGATAGGCAATTGGAATGGGGGGAGATAAAGGCATGAAGGGCTGCCTTTATCAGTGTGTGTTCACATTCAACATGAGGCGGGCAAAAGGAGGATCACTACTGGACAGATTCCTATGCTTCTCTGGGGGATCTGGGGAAGAGGGGTAGGAGAGGACACTGGTGTCACTGTACAGCTCTTCCCCACACCACTTAAAATTGCTTTTTAACTGCCAAATGCTGCGATCCTAGAACCAAGAATGCAGCTGCAGGTGCCGGAAGCAGGGGTGATCCCTAAGCAAGAGACTGTAACACTGAACCTATATGCCAGAATTCCCAAGGGCCTAAAGGGATGGACTGTACTTTCCCCCTCATCAAGAAAAACTGGGGAAGACAGTGAATACTGCTGTATTGCATACTCGTAGAGATAGCCTGCTAGTATCATATCTATGTTAACACTACCCAACATGAATGGGAGAGGACTGAGGGAGAAGCACTTCCTAGACTGGTCTAGCTACCAGCAATCTGGACTAGCACAGCAGTGGAACCTGATGTCCCTACCCAAGGTGGAAAAGTTTCGTTAAATGACAAATGAAAGAGAAGGAGAAATAATAACTGAAGGTAAAAGAATGAATAAATGGCTTATACAGTGGGGGAAATCTAACATGCTGATAAACTCGAGAGAGACTCAGAGCAAGAGCATAATCTTCTCTCAGTTACATTTTATCAGGGGACAGAGAAGGTGAAGCTGAGACAACTTTTGGAGAACCTGATCAAATCAGGTGGATAACTGCAGCAGACCTGAATGGCTGGTACCTGAGTAACCTCACCCTGAAGACTCTCTGCCCTACTGAAGGACTATTTGTTAATGACTGGTTAACAAATGACTGCTCTTCTAGCCATTAGCCCTTTCATACTTAAAGGGTTAACTTCAAGTATGAAAGGGCTAATGGCTAGAAGAGCCAGGGGGTGGCCTGTAGTGCAGTATATTACTTAATATGGCCCTTCTAGCTATAGTCTTTGTGACTCCATACCATGACTGGGTGGGACCATGCAAATAAGGTGCTTGTGGTCCACCAAGGGGACTGGACAACTGGCTACTAATGCAAATAAGGTAGATGGAACCCTTGTGGGGGTGGGACGATGCAAATAAAGCGTATGGAACTCTGGGGGATTAGTCAGTTTTGCCATTCCGTTAGCCTTAGAAGGAGACTCGGAGAGCAGGAGGAACTGTTAACATGGAAGACAGCGAGAGATGGCAGTGCGGTGCAGCAGTAGAAGAGTGATAGCAGCATGAGAGGGCAAGGACCAGGACACTGGTGCAAGATGGCTGTGGTTGGGCTTGCCAACCCATGGAGCTGAGAGTTTTAACGCTTGCCCAAGAAGGCCCCCAGGAGTGCCAGGCACAGACAGTGAGAAGCTGCTGTCCTGATCAAGGAACCACATCCTGGGTTATTCCTGTTACTTCCAAATTGATTCCGATCTCAAGTTGTACTGTTACTTCCCTAATAAACCACTTAACTGTAGGTACCGTGAGTTCTGTGAGATGTTTCAGCAAATTATGGAACCCAAAGATGGGAGGGGGAATAATGAGAGGAGGGGGAGTAGTTGATGTTAGAGATGATACAGTGGTAGAGCAGTTTGGAAAAGTTGGGTATTTGGAACATGTTTAACCTCTGCCTCATCTGAACCAGCTTTGTGCTAATCCTTATAAAAGACATTATTCATTTAACACAGGAGACAGCTGTAACGCCGGAGATGGTGCAAGACAGTGAGAAGTGGCGCAGAGATCCGGCAGCAGCAGAACCAGGAGACTGACAGGAGATGGTGAAGTGGGTGTGCTGACCCATGGAGCTAGAGAGCTGAGTGCCTTCAGGCAAGAGGCTTGCGGGTGGAGTGGGGTGCCTCGGAGCACTTACTTTGGAGCTAAATATCTTTGTCTAAGACTTGCCCAATCAGGGCAGAGGCTGGGCTGGGGTGGTGGGGGAGAGGCAAAGAGAGAGACAGACCTTCTCCCTATCTCCCACCCAGGCCTAGTATGAAGGCTTTCATATGATGCTATCCAAATGGAGCCTCTTCACAAGTCCCATGTCACTGGTCATGGTGAGATGGAATCTGTGGGGGTGAAAGAGGACTGAAGTCAGGCCCTGAGTGAGCGCAAGCGAACAAGTCAGGCACGACACATCAGGATCAGAGGAGATGAGCAAATTCTCAGGGTAGCATTTCAGGAAGGAGAGGACAGTGCCACCAACCAAGAATATGCCTGTTACCTGGGAAAGAGCCATTCCAGACGCCTTTCTTTCCTCCTCTTCCTTCTGGCTTCGTTCTCAGGCAAGATCAGTCTTGAAAAGTCAATCCTGAGTGTCAAAAATATGCTCTTAAATTCTTAGAATCAGCACACCCCTTCCTGTGCCACAACCACATACACAGGGAGGACCTCATTTGGGGAAAGACAGTCCCTGCTGCCCACTGCCCCATGAGGGACTCAGAAACAATAACTTCCTACATGGAGACCAACAGGTGAGTTCATCACCCTCCCCTCTGGCGGAGCCCACACTCTGCTGCTGCAGGGGGATGAGGGGTACACTGATCCCCCCACATTCAGGTCCCAGACCAGCACTGACACCACACCCTGTGCACAGCAGAGCCTTCCCACCTCCCCTGGATCAGGGACTAGTTTCACCCTCAGAAATGGAGGGCCCAGAGCCTTGGTGCTCACGGCTGCATGCAGATTAGAATCACCTGGGGCACTTTAACCATTCTTGAGCCTGTACACCACCCAGAAGATTTCATGGGGAATCTCTGAGGAGGAGTCACAAGTGATGTATTTGCAAAATGCCTCAGCAATCCAGTGTGAAGCCAGGGCTGAGCTGGCTCAGAGGAAGCAAGGCCAGCACACCTCGCACTTGTGGCTCTGCTCTGCCCATGGACCATGATGTCACAAGGATCCAGCCAGTGCAAGGGCAGAAGAAGAAAGAAACTTGCAGAACACCTACCACGGGCCAGGGGTTCGGGGTGAGGGTGTGGCTGAAATGTTAAATGGGGGTCAGAGATGACTGCCCTGAGAAGGTGATATTAGAATGAAGAACTAAGGAATGAAGGGTGTGTACCAGGCCCATGTGAGGACCTGGGAGATCCAGGCAGAGGGATCACCTATGTGAAGTCCCCGAGGCAATAGGGATTCTGGTCCCAGGAAGAGGCTTGTGTGGCTGGAGCAAAGAAGTGAGCAAGGAGTCAAGGAGGACATGAGGTCAGACAGGTCCTAAGGACGTGGATCAGGAAGGGCCTGGGGTCCTCAGCTGTTTTTCTTCCACACCCCAAGAGAATTTTGGAAACCACGCATTTTCTCACTCATTTTAATATCTAATTTTTCTCTTCATCTTATTCTAAGTTAAACACTTACAAATAATGCACTGTCTTGTCTATATTAAAAAAAAAAATCAAGATATTTATCGGAGTCCAAGGAGGTTGGAGCTGCCCTTATCTGAGACCTGGAGGAGTACAGGGGAAACACGCTTAGGGTTTAAGGTGGAAGATATGCCTGTGAGTGGCCCCAGCAGAGATGTCGAGGAGCTGTCTGGACATATGAGTTTGGAGTTCAGGGGCGAGGTCTGGCCGAAGGTAAAAAATGGGAGACGTCAGGGTGTTTAAAGCTGGATGACATGGAAAGGCCCTGGGTGTAGACAGAGAAGAGAAGAACAAGGACTGTACCCTCGGGTGCTCCCTCCTTCAGAAACCAGGCGGTCCAGGAGAAACCAGAGGAGGAACCTGACGCATGATCAGGAAAAAAACTCAAAAATGAAAGAAATACACAGACAGGTAGATATTTAAAGAATACTGTGATGTCCTGAAAACCAAGAAAAACGTTTTTCCAAAGAAAGGAAGTGATCAACTGTGCAACATGCTGCTGACTGAATCAGGCTTCAGCTTAGGAAAGAAGCTCTGAACAAATTTCTTCATTTTGAATACATGCGCTTTGTTGGAACAAGATTCCGAGTCAATCCAGCACAGCCTCTGACATCTGCACAGAAAGGACAAGAGGGATGAGAGGGGAACATCTCCTTGTAGCTCAGAGCCCACTATTTTAAAAGATCACTCAAGGGAAGCAAACTGAGGATTAGATTAACTGCTTAAGCTAGGTTTTCTCTATTAACAGAAAAGATCATTGACATTCCTACACAGTATACACTGAAACAATCTAACATTATTACCAGGTACCAAAGAATGTTCCCAATTACAAGACAAAAGTAGAAAGCATGCAGTTGTAATAATCTGAGCTTGACCTAGTGAATTAAAAAGGCAAACAATTTCCTGGTGGCACAGCGGCTAAGAGCTCTGCTGATAACCAAAAGGTCAGCAGTTCGAATCCACCAGCTGCTCCTTGGAAACTCTATGGGGCAGTTTTACTGTGTCCTATAGGGTCTCTATGAGTTGGAATAGGCTCAACGGCAACAGGTTTTTTGGATTTTATATGTTTCGCACTCTCACTCTTAATGTTATTTCTTTCTGGCTTTCCTTTTCTCTTGCACCTTTTTTTTTTTTTTTTTAAAGTGTTGTGTTTCCTTAGTTTCTGCTCATTTAGTTCTCCACCATCTCCTCTCCAGAGCCCTGGTGGTGCAGTGATTAAGATCTCGGCTGCTAACAAAAAGGTTGGCAGTTCCAATCCACCAGCTGCTCCTCAAAATCCCTGTGGGGCAGTTCTACTGTCCTGTAAGGCCGCTATGAGTTGGAATCGACTCAGTAGCAACAAGTTAGGTTTGGTTTGGTTTTTATCTCCTCTCCTGCTGTTTCTCCCCTACTCTCTAGTCCTCCTCCTACACTTGTTCAGCCCCACTCCTGCCCTGTATAGGTGGTTACTCTTTCTCCCCAACTTCTCTGATTGTCCCTCATTGTTACATATTTCTCTTTCTCTCTCCCCATATCTCTGTCCCTCTCTGCTCTCCGTTAAGCTCCCTCTGTCGCTACTCCCTGGACCCCAAGCTTGCTGAGTTGCCTCCCTGCTGTTTCTCCCTCTGATCTCACCCCTTGCACCTTTATCTGTCCCTCCAAAAAGTCACTCTGTCTCCCATTGCTCCAACTCTTTTATCCCCTGCCCCCTTTTTACCTTTACTCTGTTGAAATGCCTCCCCCTTTATCATCCAACTCCTAGTAATAAGGGCCCCTCTCCCTTTTGTTCCCTTCACTCTTGCATGATTATCCTTTTTTCTAGTTACATCTATTTTCTCTTCTCCCCTGCTACTTTTCTCGATTTATTCTCTTTCACTGTTAGGGTTTCTTTGCAAGTCCTTCCCCAATCCTCCATTTTGCCATCTGTTTACGGTTCTTCATTGTGTTTTCTAACTTTCAACAGCTATATTTCTCTTGTGGTTGCTCCATGTCTCTCTCACGATCGTCTCATCCTCAGGTGCCCAGGGATGGAGTGAGATGCCAGCCGTCCAGGAAAAGCACATTTTCCAAGGGGTGGGATCGGGGACAGAAGAACACGGGCTGTCATAGGACAGACGCGGATCCCCTCTCCCGACACGGACGGCAGGGAGTAAAGAGTGACTAAGAAGGAGAGGCCGGTGGGGAGGCGGGACCCGGCCCGAGGAAGATGTGAGGTCGGGGTTTCAGTAGAGAAGTGGGGTCTCAGAGTCCCAGGACCAGGAGAGGACGCGGCGGCCCGCGCTGCCCGCCAGGGTCGACACTAGGGCGGGATGTCCCCAGAGACTCCCGGTGAGAACGTGACCCGGCGCAGGCGGGCGGAGATCAGGGAAGGGTTTTGAACAGGGAAACGACGCAGCAGGCGGCGTCTGCACCGCCCAAGGGCAGAAAGGCCGGGGCGGGGACCCACATCAGCGCGATTTTACACCGAAACCGACGCGGATCCCCGGCCGGCGGCGGAGCCCGAGGGCCGGAACGTCTCACGGCCGCGCCGAGATCTCCGGGGGTGGGAAGGGCGGGTGCGGGGACTTTAACGTCCGCAGCGACCCCCGGGCCGGGTGTGGAGAACTCAAGACAGAGAACAGCTGGTTTAAAAGAGAAAGACGGAAATTCACTCACCTGTGTGCCTCGGAGAAACCTGCTTCCACGTCTGTAGTAAACTGCGCAAGCGCCCGCCGGAAAAACCCAGCGGCGTGTGGGCGGGGACAGGGCGGGGCGAGGGGACGGGCCCGTTCTCCGCGGAGGACGCGCTGGGTGGGCGGGACCGAGGCGTCTCTCCGCCAGGCTTCTGGTAGATCTCCGTTTCCCGGTGTTAGACCTTTGAATGTCTGGTTTGTGGAGCAAAGATGCTCTCTACCTACTTTAACTTCATGCTGCAGACAATTTAAGGTAAAAGCCAAGAGTTGTGGAGACCACTTACACTGGAAACCGCTTTGTTTTCCTCCTAAAAAGTTGAAATCGGTTTAAGTCGAAACAATTTTACAAGCTGGGGAGACGCGCTGCCTAGGATAGAAGCGAGAGCGACTTATATGGGCCTGAGACTTTGAGAGAGGGAGGTTGATGTGCAGAAATAGTTGGACCCAGGAACCGCTCCTGATATTAGAATTTAAGTCATTTTAGAAAGCACTGGAGTTGTCAGTGTACAAGATCCAAACTAAAATATGAAATGCAAAACTACTTGTGTGTGCAGTTTCATACTGACGCCCCATCAGAGCATCATTTCCATTTCTATTCCTCATGCACCTAGTAGGCAGAGACTCACCCCTGCTGTGGGTGTGGGGCCTAAAAGACAAAGGCATGTGGTAATTTGGGTCACCAACCTTTGCTTATAAAATACCAATAATGGCTGCGGTAAAAAATAAAATGGAAAATAAATACTGGTGAGAATACGAGGAAATTGTAACTCTTGTCTGTTGGTGTAAATGCAAAATAGTACAGAGTAGTGGAAAACTGGCAATTCTCAAAAATCTTAAGAGTAGAACAACCATATGACCCAGAAATCTCACTGCTTGGAGGTGAGATGGTGGCTCGTGAATGGGGCCAGGGCCAGATGGCAGGAACTAAAACAAAAAACGTTGCCAATCAATTCAGTCCGACTCAACCCCCCAGTGTATCGCAGAGAATGGCTCTATAAGGTTTTTATGGCTGTGACCTTTGGGGAGCAGATGGCCAGGCCTGTCTTCCTGGGCACCTCGGTACTTGAGAACTCTTAAATGTCTTTGGTGTCCTGTCGAGAAGACTTGCTCTCTGCCTATATTTAATTTACTGTTTCAGATAGTTTGAGGTAAAAGCTTAGAGTTGTGTGGGACCACTAACATAAGCTATGATGTCTTCCTCTTGACAAGTTGAAAACGGCTTAAGTTGAAAGGTATTTTTTTGTGAACAGGTCCAAGGAGTGAGGCAAAAGATACTCAGGGTGCAGAGACTGGGTGGGCGGAGGTCTGATGTGCGGTCGTGGTTGGATTCAGAAAAGCCTCCTGCAATGACAATTTAAGTAATTTGATTAAGAGAAGCTTGAGTTGTCTGTGTTGTTGTTAGGTGCTGTTGAGTCAGTTCCGACTAATATGGACACTAGGTACAACAGAACAAAACATTACCTGGTCTTGCGCCATTCCTCATAATCCTTGCTGTGTTTGAGCCCATTGTTGCAGACACTGTGTCAATCTATCTTATTGAGGGTCTTCCTCTTTTTCCCTGACCCTCTACCTTACCAAGCATGATGTCCTTTACCAGGGACTGGTCCCTCCTGATAACATGTCCAAAGTACGTGAGATGAAGTCTTACTGGTCCAGTTGTAAGAATTTTTGTTTCTTTTATGTTGTGGTGTAATCCATACTGACGGCTGTAATCTTGGTCTTAATCAGTAAGTGCTTCAAGTTTTCTTGACTTTCAGCTAGCAAGGTTGTGGCATCTGCATATCGCAGGTATGTAATGAGATCCTCCAATCCTCATGCCACCTTCTTCATATAGTCCAGCTTCTCAGATTATTTGCTTAGCATACAGATTGAATAAGTATGGTGAAAGGGTACAACCCTGACACACACCCTTTCTGATTTTAAATCACTCAGTATCCCCTTGCTTTGTCTGAACTACTGTCTGTTGGTCTATGTACAGGTTCCTCATGAGCACAATTACGTGTTCTGGAATTCCCCTTCTTTGCAATGTTATCCATAATTTGTTATGATCCATATAGTTGTTTATATGACATTTTGAAATTGATAAATTAAAAGAAATAAAACGAGAGGTTCTCAGAGTGTAAGATGGTGGTGAGTACTAATTTCATAGACACGGGAGGGAAATTTTGGGGGGATTAGACAATCTCAATAGTTAGATTGAGGTAGTGTTTACATGACAGATATGTATTTGTCAAAACTCATAGACTTGTTGGAGCCACTATGTCAATCCATCTCATTGAAGGTATTCCTCTTTTTCACTGACTCTCTACCTTACCAAGCATGATGTCCTTCTCCAGGGACTGGTCTCTCCAGATAACATGTACAGAGTATGTGAGACTTTTGTCTCACCATCCTTGCTTCCAAGGAGCGCTCTGGCTGTACTTCTTCCAAGACAGTCTTGTTCGTTCTTCTGGTAGCCCATGGTATATTCAGTATTCTTCGGCAACACCATTAATTCAAAAGGATCAATTCCTTCTCAGTCTTCCTTATTCATTGTCCAGCTTTCGCATGCATGTGAGGCACCTGAAAATATGGCTTGGATCAGGTGCACCTTAGTCTTCAAAATGACATCTTTGCTTTTAAGCAGTTTAAAGAGGTCCTTTGCAGCAGATTTGCCCAATGCAATATATTGTTTGATTTCTTTTTTTTAACCAATCTCTTTTTTCTTTTATTGCTGTAGTTTAAGTGAAAGTTTACATTTCAAGTTAGTTTTTCAAACAAAAACTTATATGTACATTGTTATGTGACCCTAATTGCTCTCCTTATACTATGACAGCACACTCCTCCTTTCCACCCCTGATGTACCATGTCCATTCAACCAGCTCCTAACCCTCTCTGCCCTTTCATCTCACCTCCGGACAGAAGCTGCCCATTGAGTCTCATGGGTCTACTTGAGCTAAGAAACACACTCGTCATGAGTATCATTTTTATGTCCCACAGTCCAGTCCAATCTTTGTCTGAAGAGTTGGCCTCAGAAATTGTTTTAGTTCTGGGTTGACAGAGAGTCCAGGGGCCATGCTTTCCAGGGTTCCTCCAGTCTCAGACCATGAAGTCTGGTCTTTTTACTAGAATTTGAGTTCTGCACCCCACCTTTCTCCTGTTCCATCAGGTACTCTCTGTTGTGTTCCCTTTCAGGGCAGTCATTCGTGGTAGCCGGACACCATCTAGTTCTTCTGGTCTTAGGCTGATGGATCTCTGGTTTATGTGGCCCTTTCTGTTTCTTGGGCTAATACCTTCCTTGTGTCTTTGGTGTTCTTCATTCTCCTTTACTCCAGGTGGTTGGGACCAATTAATGCATCTTAGATGGCCACTTGCTAGCTTTTAAGACCCCAGACGCCACTCACCAAAGTAGGATGCAGAACATTTTCTTAATA